AATATTTTTACCGACCAAAACAAAGTAAATACCCGCACTTTCTTTAAACAAGTTGACGTTAATAGTTATATAGAAATCAGCAGTTGTCATTACACACGGTAGCTGACTAACATCCCAAGGGGACAATTTTTAAGGTTGCATAGGAATTGTACAAACAAACAAGATTTTTCCCAGCAGGCTGAAGCTATAAAAAAACAATTTATTCAAAAAGGATATGTAGAGAAAGATCTTGATACCCAAATTCAAATGATATCATCATTGGAAAGATCTCCCCTTTTAGAATATAATAAAAAAGAGAAATCTCTACTGTTAATAACACGAACCAACAAATTCCACTTATTTTTAACTATTCAAGCAATATAGGTATTGTTAAAAAGATTATAAAGAAAAATTTGAATATTTTAAGCCAAGATGATGAGATATCAGAATTTTTAGGTTCTAAACCCAAATTTATTTTAAGAGGCGCTAGAAATTTTAAACAAATTTTAACTAACAGTTTTATTGATAAAACCTCTCTTAATAATAGTAATTTTTTATCTAATTGGTCTAAGACCCAAAAAGGTTTTTACCACTGCGGGATGTGCAATGCATGCAAAAAAACCGACATCAAAGTGAAGAATGTAACTACTTTTATATCTGAGAGTACCAAAAGAGAGTTTACAATCAAGTCAATGATCACCTGTCACTCCAATAGCGTTATATATTTTCTTAATTGTACATGTGGTCTGCAGTATATAGGCAAGACTTCAAGACCACTAAAAACTCGAATAAGCATGCACGTTAGAAATATTCAAAAAGGTTTTCGGAACCACAGCGTATCCAAACATTTTTTGGAAAAACATAATTCAGATCCAAAGTGTAGCGGAGAGGCAGTATAATCCACGATATCTCCGCTGGGTAACAGGAACAACAAAGGATAATCCAGGGAATCAGCATACAATAATCCAAACAGCACTGCAGTAACCCTTCCTTCCCAAGAACTAGACGACACATAGGCTGGGAGTCAACTGAGGTCTTTTAATTCAGCTCCACAATTTATACAAGTCCCCATGCAAGGGGTTTCCTGAGTCCCCTCCCAGGGGCATTCCCAGAGGGGACTACATGGGGGACTTACAATACAGGACATTTCTCCCATCAGGCACTGCTGCACGAGAGGGATCCTCCCACTGGAATATACCGTTAAGTGGATTATCCCTCCGTGCAGCAGAACTCACAATTCACATTAAATTCAATAACTCCATGAATATCTGGTTCATTTAAACGAATGGACGTTCGGTAGATAGCTGGGGTCTGAGTGCATCATTTGTGAGATTACCGCTCAGATCCCAGCTAAAACAACCGAACGCCGCACGAAAACCATATTCACTAACACATAGCCTTAAAATACCGATTACATATAAGGGAACAAAATACCGAATATCCCGGACCTCCCGAACGGTCTGGAGGCTCAGCGGTGTTCGCGCCATTGAGTAGCCGTTTTTAGTACCACGCGCTCGACGACCAAACACCGCTGAGGGAACAAAGGATCCAAGATGGCCGACCGCCGCATGGTCGGTAGTCGAACGACGGCCACCCAGGAGAGCCTCTAATTACCTATTGCAACATTGTTGCAATCAGTTAATAGGCGCCACACGCCTCTAAGTGTGTGGGCTATTAAATGATATTTTGTTCGGTTCCCGAACGGCCCGCAAAGGTGTCGTTCGTGAAACTAATAGAAGCAGCTATCTGCGTTCGGCAGATAGCCCAGGCAGGCAATACATTATTAACATTGCATTACAGTACATGCTGGAACACACAATAGGAACCCCATACCGGCAACCCTTAAAGCGGCAGTACAGAAATAATGTCCAAGTGGCTAGGTTTGCCACACAAAGTTCCTTAATTTTTTTGCCATAGAGAAAATAGAATCCCATTGGAGAGGAGGAGATATTGCCAAGAATTTAAGTACTCAGGAAGCTAAATGGATATTTGAAATGCGCACCTTAATACCCCAGGGTCTGAATATCGATTTTGAAATCAATAGTATTTTATGAGAAGTTTTAAATATATATATATATATATATATATATATATATATATATATATATTTTTTTTAGTACTTTTAAATAGAGTTCTGGGCTTATTTAAATATATCTTATGTAATTTTACCAGTTTGATTATATGTAATCTTACTAATATACATTACACTCTAGTGGGTTCTGGTTCACTTTCCTGCACTTTCTTACGTTTTCTACTCTCCCTAATGAACACAATGGTTGCAAAGTATGATATTACTATTACTAAATATGCCATAAAGTAAATATAACCTTATGTGTAAAAACATATAAATACTGGACAAGTCTACAATGCTTCATTATGTTTTATTTTTTATTTTCTCTTTGTTTTTATATATGTGGACATTAATTACAGACTGTGGGCATTTTGCCCTACTTTCAATGGATTCAACTCCTCTTCCGCCCATGTGACCCTCTTGCCCACGTGACGCTATACACGTCACAAGAAGGACGTCCCGCTTGTTGGCCACGCGATCCGGACAAGTACAGTGATCGGCGTGTCATAGGAGATGACGTGTCGGAAAAAGAAACCGGAAGAAAACAAAGAAATTGAATCACGGACGTACAGATTTAGCGGACATGTTTTGGGAGGTTGGTAGGGATTGGTACATAGCCGGGTGTTTAGCCATCTTTTTGGTTGGCTTGACACTTCCGGCTATGACCATATATGGAAGTGGGTGGTTTGTCTGAACACATATGGATTCACTTGTCTTGATTTGTACCTTGTTACTGCTGTGATATAAATGCAGGTTCAAGTTCAGTGTTGAGTTAGATGCACTTGAGAAAGACCTTTAATGGTTGAAACGCGTTGTGCAATATTTTTTATTGTATTTTAACACTTTTATTTGATGAAATAAATTTATCTATCATATCTACGTTGGAGTTTGCTGCAAATTCATCAGCTTCAAGTTCCTGAGGATTGATCCAACGTACCTTTATTGTGTGTCTCAAGGTGGAGACGATATGCTTCATAAGTTTAGAGCCAACTTTTAAAAAGGCTCTGGAAATTGTGAGTTGGATGTATATCTCTTTTCTCACATTTATTATATATGCAAATTACACTATGTCTGTTATGTTTATTTATCTGTAGGTTACCAGACTATCAGACTATTTGATACAACTCTGTATATATAAGGTAACATCTATTCCTTTCTGTGAGCGCTAATGACCTTTCCCCTTTATCCTAGAAGAAAGCATGTCCGGCCATCTTGATGGTCAGGCCCTGCCCCCCTGTTTTTTTTAACCACTGTTTTGGTAGTTATTCTGCAACTATATTAATTACAAACATTTTGCTAATATGAGGGGTACAACTTAAGGTAATGGAATGTCAAGGGGTACACAAGTGAAAAAACTTTGGGTATTACTGCTTTAACCCCTTAAAGGACCACTCAGCTTAATGAAGTGGTCTGGATGCCAGGTCAAGCTAGGGTTAACCCATTTTTTCATAAACATAGCAGTTTCAGAGAAACTGCTATGTTTATCAATGGGTTAAGCCTTCCCCCATTCCCTCTAGTGGCTGTCTCAGTGACAGCCACTAGAGGCGCTTGCGTGATTCTCACTGTGATTTTCACAGTGAGAGCACGCCAGCGTCCATAGGAAAGCATTATGAATGCTTTCCTATGTGACCGGCTGAATGCGCGCGTAGCTCTTGCCGCGCGTGCGCATTCAGCCGACGGGGAGGAGAAGAGGAGGATCGGAGGAGGAGAGCTCTCTGCCCAGCGCTGGAAAAAGGTAAGTATAACCCCTTTTCCCCTTTCCAGAGCCGGGCGGGAGGGGGTCCCTGAGGGCACTATAGTGCCAGGAAAACAAGTATGTTTTCCTGGCACTATAGTGGTCCTTTAAGGACACATGACATGTGTGACATGTCATGATTCCCTTTTATTCCATAAATAAATAAACATATGTGCATCGTCATCCTACTTAGGAATAGATTGTTACTCCCCCTCCCCCCCCCACCTTCTTTCCACAGTAAGACACAGACAGACAGCAATTTGATGGGTAAAAATCCACACAGCATTTAATACACGATTATCAAATGAACAAATAAAGTCATTGTCAAACATCGCATAACCGACACTTAAAACCGCCTGTTCCATGGGCTACACTACAGTCACCCACTGTAGAGCATTTACAGTAGCAAGGGACAGAGCAACTTAAAGTATGATGGTTGCAACCTAAGCAGTCATGGTGATACAATTTTGTTAAAAATGATGTATAGAGAGCTCAGCAATGTGGCCTTACAGAGGCCTGAGCCATATTATACTAAAGGTGACTTTTATGGGAAGAACAGACAATTTATTGCCTTTCTACAGCCATACTGTCCCTTTGAACCTACAATGCAAGAAAATCCAGGATGTAAATACTTCCTGGTGTTTTACATTATTCTACATAAATAAAAATTGTGGGACATACTGTGTCCATAATTCCTGGATAGTGTAGGAGTTCAACTAAGTTCAAGACAGTTGTTTTTTTTTTCAAATTCCCTCCCAACAATGGTAACAGACACTGTTCTCTCTTACAGTTCCATGCCCCTGGCATTAATTTACTTCCATTCCATCCTACTGAAACTGGCATGTTACCAGTAGTAAAATGTTCTCTCGGGAACTGAGCCTCCTTGTTCTATCAGTACAGACATAAACATGACACCCAAAACCCCTTAGTTCTCCTCAGGCAGACATGCCGTTCTCCGTGTAAAAGGCAGAAATCACAAAGCATTTGTCATAAATATTTATCCGCTCTAAAGCATGACTTGCTCACTGTTCTGAAAGAAAAAAAAAAGAATTACCTCAGAAAACAGTTATGGAAGTGCTGCCAGAAATGAACAATAATCACACATTTCAGAGATTAAAAGAACATTTCATTGTCTTTATATATGGTAAGCTTGAAGTCCTATTGGGGGTGAAGGGGGAATAGAGGCGGAAGGGAGCCAGCACTTGAATGATAAAGATGGGCTTCACTGGAGCTCTGTGCAGGTATCTTTTAAGGTACCAAACCTGGGTGCTACAGTCATGATTTCTCAGCCAAGAAGAACTGGACTGATGCAGCCCCTGATGCGCAAGATATTGAGGCTTTGATGAGATACCCGAGACCTGCGACATCTAAGATTTTGTGGAGCACGGCCAACCTCCCATCCTCCTTGGACCTTGTCTGTTGCTGGAGATCAAGGAGACTGGAAGCCAAGCACAAGAACAGATATTATGGCACATCTTTGCGACATTCACTCCATGTTGCAAGGCATGCATTTGCCAAAGTGCTACCGAGACCATGGCCTTGGGACGGCAGTTGCACATATCAGCTGTCATTTGTTTATGCTTTTTAAAATGTTTCTTTTAGTCTGGTGCCAATCGATTCGCCCAGTACCAGTGTGGGCCCATGGCCATCCAATATAATTACTCCCTATGACAGAGGTACAACCCATGGTGCAAGACAAAAGAGTTCTAAGGAGCAGCAGTGACCACTGCTGCAGACAGCAGTATCTTGTATCCTCCCTGTGCGGCTTTCTGTTTATGAAGAGAAGAGGTAGAGAGGGGAAGTTAAGTCACATTCGGCACTCTCTACTCATATGCAGAGCGCTGTGAAGCAGCTTGCAGGCAGATAGAACTGCCAGGTATGCTAAATTTGGGCTACTGGAGAGACACAAGAGAAGGAGGACAAGAGTAGAGGGTGTATTGAAGCTGCAAATGAGTATGTATCTAAATATATTAGTGTGTGTGATTATGTAGATGTGTGAGCTCACCTATGAGTGATGTATGACAGTGAGTGCGTGTCTGTGAGTGTGTATATGTCTGTGTCACTTGAAATATGTGTGCGCTTGTGAGTGTTTTTCTATATTTATTTGACTGTATCTGTGAGCCTGTATGAGCCATTTACTTTGAATGAATCTTATCTACCATAGCCCCTATCCACTCTCAACACACTCAACAGCTCATCTACACTTAACACACACAACTGTGCCTATTACTCCCAAACACACACTACATCCACAAGTATGTGCACTACAGCCCCATATCTCTCACACAAACACTTTTACGTGGTTTGGTCACCCTGGGGCTTCCGCTGCCTTGTCCTCTACCGTATTACCTTTCTATATTATATTTAGGAAGAGTGGTATCCCAGTGGCATGTCCCTGTGGGCACTGGACCCGGGCTGTTCTCTTGCTTGTGCGGAATGGGGAGTAGTGAAAGGAGGTACAGAGAGAGAGGGGTAGGTGGGGGGTGCTCAGCGGGCAGTGAGGTGCTCTGCAGGGGCACGCTTACCCCTCGATCCATTGTCTCTAGTCATGTGTAGTCTGAGGGTGTTTAGTCATTAGCGTAGTCCTCCAAGGGTTACCATATTTTTTGAAAGTTTTTTTCTGTGTTTCTGATCTGGGCTGTGTGTTTGTCCATTAGGTATGTGTCTTTAATCTTCACTATAACATCGTTGGTGGGGGGAACGGTGGGTTTCAGCCATGACTGGGCCAGGGCACGTCTGGCCGCCAGGGTAACTTTATTTAGGAACTGTTGTTCCTTTCTAGGGAGGCCGTCTGTGGGCATGGAAAATAAGACGGACCAAGGGGCTATGTCTAAGTGTCTCTCGAAGACGTCTGTCAGCAGTGTCTGCATTCGCTTCCAGATTCTACTGACCATTGGGCATTCCCACCACATGTGCACGAACGTGCCCTTAATTCCGCACCCCTTCTAGCATGTGTCAGTCGTGGTTTTACCCATTCTGTGTAGTTGCACTGGTGTGGTGTTCCACCTCATTAACATTTTGTAGGATTGTTCCTGTTGTAGTATGCATATTGAGGTCTTCGCGGTTGCTTCCCATATGTCTGCCCAGTCTCCTCCTTCTAGTTCTTGTCCCAAGTCAGTCTCCCATTGTCCTATATATCTAGGGTCTTTGTCATCTCTATCTGGGGCACTGAGTTGTGCGTATGTGGTTGTTATCAGGCCTTTCTGTTCGGTTTCCGAAGCACACAGTCGTTCGTAAAAAGTAATTTGGGTTTGGGCTGCTCTACGAATCTCTGGGTTTTTGGCAAAGTCCTGCAGTTGTATGTATCTGAATACATCTTTTGTGGTCAGGGGTGCTAGGGTTTTTAGGTTATCGAACGTTCTGAAGGTTCCATTTTCATACATATGGAGATACCTCTGTAGCCCCTCATTGCCCCTGAAGTCTCTTGCACTCGGGTTCAAATGCTTTGTTCCGCAGGAACGGTGTCATCGGTGAAGGTGTGTTTTTTAAGGCGTATTTAGTGGCGGTCAGATCCCATATTCTTATGGAATTGACCATCGCCGGACAGGTAGTTTGGATGATTGATCTGTCTTGTTTGGGCACCCATATCCAGAATTGTGGTAGAGCTGTGAACATTAGGTGGGTTTCTAACTCTACCCAGCAATGGGATCCTACCTGGGAGTGCCATGTTACTACCTGGGCCAGTTGTGCTGCCAGGAAGTATAGGCAGAGGTTCGGGAGCCCCAATCCGTATAGTACCTGCCTAGCCACCCGGTGTCTTTTTTGTGCCCATATGAAGTTATCTGTGGCTCTTTGTAGCGACGTTAGATCTTGTTTGGTTATGTAACGGGTAGGGCCTGGAACAGGAAGCGAGGTAATAGTGTCATTTTTAACGGCGTGTAGCCGGCCTATCCAGGAGATTTGCTTTTCGTGCCATCTCTCTATGTCCCGGCAGATTGACTGGATACTGGGTGTGTAGTTTTCGGTGTAAAGTTTGTCAGGGTCCACTGTATGTCTGACCCCCAGGTATTTAATGTTGGATGTCGTGATTTTAAGTGTGTAAGTGGTTTTTATCCTGGTGACCTACTCCGGGTCCATCCCGATTGGCATGGCCACCGATTTTTCTAGGTTGATCTTATAACCCGAAACATATCTGTACCCATCTAGCAGGGTCAGTAGCTGGGGTAGTGAGTGCTGGGGATTAGTGAGTGTGATCATTATGTCGTCCATATATGCAGAAACTTTGTATTCCTCTCCCCCGGGCCTGCAACCCCTTTTTGGTCTTGTTCGTCCGGATCTGCCAAAGAGTTTTTGTATGAGAAACATGAAAATAAAAAAACTCCTACATATAATCATGCACTCTTTTGATAATTGCGCTCCACTCGCCTTTTATAGATGTAGAAAGATGCGAACAGAAAAGAAAGGAAAAAGGAAGGTAAAAAGGATATAAGTAAGAGAGTCGTCTTCATGAAGCTGGCATGAGTTGTTACATTGCCCATGGCTCACAGCGAATGGTCAGCTGGACATCTCCGGGGGATGAGCCTGCAAAACTTTAGTGCTGGGAGATCAATAGTGACTATAGGAGAGATAGATGGAAGCAGAGTTCTCTGTCCCCCTCCATTCCAGGCTAATCACCCACGTGTCACAACAGTGACCCCTACACGCAGAGTGTAATTAGAAAGTGACGTATACTGGACCTTAGATTGGCCGGACTCAAACGCCAAGGAGTAGTCAAAGGAATAGCCAAGAGTCAAAGGAGAAAGCAGGCACACAAGAATAACTAAACCAAAATCAGGAAACCAGAGAGCAGAATAGTCAAAAGGAAAAGCCAAAAGTCAAATACCAGTAAATACAATAAATGATCTCAAGAGCTCTAAAGGGAACTATCAAGAACCACAATATGGCGCTTAACAATTGAAAAAGGCGCCTTTTTATAGTGTGGTTCCTTTTGCTTTAAATCCACACCCCCAAAAGGTCCGGGAGTGTGGTAACGTTCGAATTACCGCGGGATAATTATACTGACGTCGGCATGCAAAAAGAGAGGACGCCGCGCGGGTTCGGAGGGAAAAGGTAAGATATCGTTACAGTACCCCTCCCCCCTCAACAACTGCCCACTGGGTGAGTAGGATCCAGCCTACGAGAACGACGTCTCTGAAATAAACGAACCAGACGAGGAATATGGACATCAGAGGCATCAACCAATGAGCGTTCCTCGGGACCATACCCTTTCCAGTCCAAAAGATATTGGAGTTTACCCCTTGAAATACAGGAGTCCAAAATAGTTTTCACTTCGAATTTGTTTTGACCCTCCACAAAAGTCGCAGGAGGTCTCGAGTGATTACGTGTATAATGATTACATAGGGCAGACTGGATTAATGCGATTGAGTACTTTGAAGGGACCAATAAAACGTGGAGCAAACTTCATTGAGGGGACTCTTAATTTTATATTGCGCGTATTCAACCACACCCTGTCCCCTGCCACAAAAATAGGTGCAGCTCTTCGATGTCTATCTGCATTATACTTTTGTGATTCAGCCTTTTGAACCGATATATGTTTAACCCCTAACCAAGTCTCTTTCATACTATTTACAGTGCTGTCAACACTTGGCACTCCAGTAGAGGAAAAGGAACTCGGAAGAGTAGTAGGGTCAAAACCATAATTGATAAAGAAAGGACTGTGTTGCATAGATTAATGAACCAAATTATTGTGGGCAAATTCGGCCGAAGGAAGTAGTTCCACCCAATCATCTTGATGATCGGAGGTAAAGCAGCATATGTATTGTTCAAGTGATTGATTGATCCTTTCAGTAACACCGTTAGATTGTGGATGGTATGAAGAAGAAAGATTAAGATGAATACCCAACTGGTTACAAAATGCCCTCCAGAAACAAGAAACAAATTGCGAACCTCTGTCGGAAACTATATCATCAGGTATACCGTATAATCGAACCACTTCTTTTATAAACAAAGTGGCCAGTTCTGAGGAGGATGGCAATTTAAATAATGGAACAAGATGTGTCATCTTTGAGAATCTGTCAATGATTGTTAATATCACACTATGATTTTTTTTGAAAGGGGTAGGTCTACTATAAAATCCATGGTGATACTTGACCAGGGTTTATTAGGAATAGGCAATGGCATGAGGAGTCCAAATGGGTGACACTTGGGTACTTTAGTAGATGAACAAATGTTACAGGCAAGAACATACTCCCAAACATCTTTTTATGAAGGCCATCAAAATTGTTTTTCAATTAGTGATTCAGTTTTATGGATACCGGGGTGACCGGCAATTTTGGAGCCTTGCATCAAGGACAAGACTTTTCTTCTATAAGCTAAATGCACATATAACTTTCCCCGAGGGATAGCAAGAGATGTATGATCCTGGAGTTTTGATAATTCCTCCAATAAACCAGAAGATCTCTTAGCATGGACAGTGGCTATTATGTGATCGGTTGTTATTATGGAGGACAATTGGACTTCAGGGGGAGATAGATGTTCATATTGTCGGGATAACGCGTCAGCTTTAGTATGTTTTGATCCAGGTCTATATGTCACAATGTAATTAAAGCGTGTTAAAAACAAGGACCAGAGAACCTGTCTGTCTGTCATTCTTTTAGCCTCTATGAAGTAGGAAAGGTTTTTATGGTCAGTAAGTATGGTAACTGGTACATGTGACCCCTCTAACACATGACGCCACTCCTTGAGGGCTTAGATAATTGCTAAAAGTTCTCTCTCTCTATTTCATATCTCTTTTCAGTCTCTTTCAGTTTTAAAAAAAAAAAAACCCACAGGGATGTAGAG